TGTCCATTCGGTCCATGATGTTCAAAGTTCATTCTCTGTTGGGATGATGGCTGGAGGGAAGTCAGGGCCAGACGCTGGTGACCTGGAGACATCTAGTTGATGGGCTATAAAAGCATTACACAGCAGGCAACAGCATACAATTGAGTTCACTGGCTGTTTTCCCCTAAAATCAAATCCCCTTGAGGTATACATTTGACTTCCCCATCTTCCCGCATTACCCACCAAGTATATCCAGGTCCCTTGACCTTACTTCGTTTTATGGCAAAACCGGCTTTCAGCAGGATTTGGATTATTTTCCTCCCTTTCTCAAAGACTTCTTCCGCTGTATCGCCCCACACAATAATGTTATCAATGTATTGCAGGTGTTCTGGAGCTTGCCCCTGTTCCAGTGCAGTCTGGATCAGTCCATGGCAAATGGTAGGGCTGCGTTTCCACCCCTGGGGCAGTCGGTTCCAAGTGAAGTGGACACCCCTCCAAGTAAAAGCGAACAGTGGCCTGCACTCTGCTGCCAAAGGAATTGAGAAAAATGCATTGGCAATATCAGTCGTGGCATACCACTTGGCTGCCTTTGACTCTAGTTCATACTGAAGTTCTAGCATGTCCAGTACGGCAGCACTCAATAGTGGTGTGACTTCATTCAGGCCACGATAGTCTACTGTTAGTCTCCATTCTCCATTAGACTTTCGCACTGGCCATATGGGGCTATTAAAGTGCGAGCGGGTCCTGCTGATCACCCCCTGACTCTCCAGTCTACGGATCAGCTGATGGATGGGAATCAGGGAGTCTCGGTTGGTGCGATATTGCCGCCGGTTCACTGTTGTGGTCGCAATTGGCACTTGTGGTTCTTCAACTTTCAGCAACCCCACAGCAGAGGGATCTTCTGAGAGACCAGGCAAGGTGGACAGCTGCTCAATTTCCTCAGTCTCCAAAGCAGCAATACCAAAAGCCCACCGGTACCCTTTTGGGTCTTTGAAATACCCTCTCTTGAGGTAGTCTATGCCGAGGATGCGTGGAGCCTCTGGACCAGTCACAATAGGGTGCTTTTGCCACTCCCTCCCAGTCAGGCTGATTTCAGCCTCCAGCACAGTCAACTCTTGGGATCCTCCTGTTACTCCAGAAATATAGATGGGTTCCACCCCTTGACAGCTTGATGGCATCAGGGTACACTGTGCACCGGTATCTACTAGAGCCTTATACTTCTGTGGGACTGATGTGCCAGGCCATCTGATCCACACAGTCCAGTAAATCCGATTGTCCCCTCCCTACACCTGGCTGGAGGCAGGGGCCCTCTAATGGTCGTCACAGCACTGGACACTTAAGTCGTGGTGAAAGGGATTATTCTTCTTTATCGCAGGAGCTGGAGTAAAATCAGCTCTTCCACTCCATCTGGGAAACTGCTCACCAGAGACTGAAGCCGTAGCTCTCATGGGACGATCAGTCTTGGCCCTTGCTCCCCTCTTCAGTTCACTCACCCGTTCCTCCAAAGCTGAAGTAGGTTTTCCATCCCACTTTGTCATGTCTTCTCCGTGATCCAGCAGGTAAAACCATAGGGTACCCCGTGGCGTATACCTCCTGTATCTCCTCTCTTGAACAATAGGACGTCTTTTGTTAATAGCTGAGACGTGTGTTGGTACACGTGAGGAGCTGGATAAATCAGATAGATCGTCCCTCAATTTTTCGATGTCCTGGGACAGTTTTTTCACAGCTGAGATGATGGAAGGGGTGAGATTGTCTTCGAACTCTCGGAGTTTATAAACCATTTCATCCACTGTTAGTGGTACTATGTCATTCCAGGTTACTGTTGCCAATGAATGGGCATATGATGACGTTGCATTCCGTGTAAGTTTTCGCCACATGGGTCGTGTACATTCAACTTCATCTGGATCTATAGGTGTATCCCCGTTATTTGGCTTGATGTGATAGAGCATCTCTACGATGGCCGATTCCCTCAGAGACTGGATGCCTTTGTCTATAGTAGTCCACTTGGCCGAACGACTCGTAACATCGTCCTTGTACGGAAACCTTTCTTTCACAGCTGCCAAGAGCCGCCTCCAAAGGCTGAGGGACGTTTTCTCTCTTGCAATTGCTTTGTCAATTGCCCCTTCTCTAGCAAGTGATCCCAGCTGCTTGGCTTCTGTACCTTCTAGTTCGTGACCATCGGCCCCATTGTCCCAGCATCGGAGTAACCAGGTGATGATGTGCTCCCCTGGTTGACAGGTAAAACCTTTTTGCATATTCCGCAGCTCGGTTCAGGTCCGAGGTCGAGAAGTTACCTCTTCTTCTTCTTCTTCGTCATGTGATGATGACTCCTGAGCAGATTCTGGACCGGGTGGTGATTTCATTGGTTCTTCATCTCGCTTCACCCTTCTTGCCTCTTTTTTGCTTGTTCTCTTGCATACAGGGGCAACTGATATTGGTACGAATTGGTCCTCTGGTTTGGCTGCAGTGATTATCACTGTGGTTTGAGTAGCGACTGTACTTGTTGCTGGGGGTGGTGCAGCTGCTGTGCTTGGAGCTGGGGTAACCGCGCTGTCTGTTGCAGTTGAAGTTTGAGCAGCTGCTGTACTTGCCGCTGGGGTAGCTGCGCAGTTCACTGCAGCCAAAGTTTGAGTAGCGACTGTTGCTTTGCCCTCAGATCCGCCAACATTCTTTTCCTTTTGAAGGTGCTGGATAGTGTTGACCAAGGCCCTGTAAGCATAGGCCAAGCCCCAGCACGTTGCCGTGATTTGTCCATCTCTGGTATGGCTAGAATGACCACACACTTCATTTAAGTGTTTTACTAATTCTTCTGGATTTTGCAGTTGTTCGGTAGTGAAATTCCAAAGTACTGGAGGGGCCCACTGACCTAGATACTTGCCCATACTATCCCACACACCCTGCCACTCATGGCTGTCCAGCCTCTGGGAAAATCTCTCGGTCCTCCTACATCGTCGTTTGACCCCAGACAAGACCCAAACCTGAATCTGCTTAACTCTTGAAATCAGTAGTGGGCAAAACACACTCTGTATGCGTGTTAGCATGGTGATTCCCATCACCATCAGCAAACAAGTCTCAACAGCATTAAAAGGCCATTCAAAAAATTCAAAACTCTCAAATGTAAATGGTCTGGGGGGACGACTGGGAGGGTAAAAGGATGTCTCCTTCACAGGTTGAGCACCTGAGAAGGAGAAAAAAGCTGTGTAATTGCTAAGCACCTCCATCATATACCTCCCAAAGTATAAAGGTGGTGACCACACTGGGAACATAAGCCAGATCAGTTTCATGATCAATGATTCTATTGTATTACAAGTCATTACCATAAAGTACAATGGGACAAAAACCTTAGCCCAAGCCCCACACTTGAAAAACACTAATACAGGAAAAACCGGATGGACGTAAGATACGATATACTGAAACTGTGAGATCAAGAGGAACAACCTTGAGAGCCAATAAATCAGCATTGTGACGAGTGACTATCAATCCAGTCAGATCTGTTCTTATCTCAACCCCTCGTGCCCCACGTTGGGCGCCAAAAAGAACTGTCGTGGTTTAAACCCAGTCAGGTAACTTGTTCACTCACTCCCAGTGAGTGGTGCCGAGCTAACAACAATCAAGGTCCGTGTCCGTCTCCCCCCCCCCTGCACCGGGGCTCTCCCCTTCCCCACTCCCGGAGGAACGGGGAGGAGGATCGAGAGAGTGCAACTCCTACGGGTTGAGACAAGAACAGTCCAGCAACCAATGTACACAAATCACCACCGCTACTATCAGCTAAAACAATGATAAGGGAAAATAACAAGGGAAGAGAATACGATACCACCGGCCAAGGAAACGAGTTCCACCCGGAAGCCCGTGTCCTTCCGGGTAACTCCCAGTCACCCCCCACCCCGGCCATGACGTGCTGTGGTATGGAATACCTCCCTGGCTAGCCCGGGTCAGGCGCCCCTGGTCTCTGCTTCCTCCCGGCTTCCCCTCCTCCCTGGCAGAGCATGAGCCTCACAGAGTCCTTGGTCAGGGTAAACATCACTTAGCAACAACCGAAAACATTGACTTCACCAACACTGTTCTCAGGCTGGAAGTCAAAACACAGCACTGCACCAGGTAACACAAAGGAAAAAAAAACATGACAGCTACTGCTGAACCCAGGACACAGAGTCAACATTAAAACAAATCAGGAATTGCCTTCGATGTAAAATTGTCTGCTTAGCAACTCAGCAACCCAGTCTGCTTAGTTGAGCCAAGGCCCTGGCTGAAGCACTTACAGTGATTTGGCATATTATGATTGGATACATGTTTTGAAGACCCTTAGTGACTAACATATAATTGGTTAAACACAGGTGTGAGAACTCAACCTTGAAAGCTTGCCAACAGTCCACAGTTCCCATTAACTTGGTGAATTCCAGCCTCTTATCTTGCTTGCTTAAGCTTCTTCAGGCCTCTTATGGCCTTGCTGTATCTTTCAGGACTATTCAAAGTTTATGTACCAATTATGCATTCTCCCGTGAGAACACTGTCTCCACATCTTCCCCCTTTTGTTTTATCCAGTAACAAGTCGCTACTACAGCAAGGCACACACAAATTTACATTAGCAGAGTAACTATTACAGGGTGCAGCAGCATGTTGAAGATGCTGATGGCAGTGAAGGACTAGCCAAAGAAATTTCTTACCAGTGGAATTCTCCCCCCCTCTTAATTTGTTCCATCACCTGCTTTATAACACCACCATTGTATTAAAATTTTTCTAGCTTTTGCCTTAGCATTTTCTAGCAGCTACTGCAAATTTCCATACTCTAACATCTCTCTTTTACAAGTGACAAATCTATACAATACAAAGTGCAGTTTCTTATTAGCAACTAGCTAGTAAATACAGGTGGTTTTATACACAACATCACAACCTCTAATAATAGCTACTTTACAAGCACACATATTCAGGATGTTACTTTTCATCTGCCCCCAAGTGATGTTTTGCAATTATTTGCTCTTTCTCTTCCTCTATCTCATTCTGCTTGGGGTAATCACGGTCAGCTCCTGTAGCTGAGGCATCAGGTTTATCCATTCATCTGTCCAGCTCATGGCAAGGCTTGACAAACTTTGCAGGCAGTCACCATGGACCTGTAGGCAGGAGGACACAAATATACCCCCTCCCCCAGGTTATCAGTTCTTCAGTTCTTGAGAGGTAGACAGGCTAGACAGGTTAAGTGCAGCATCATTACTCTCTCCCTGTCCCCCCCCTTTTTTTTTTTTTTAGTCCCTGCAAAAGCCATCATTACTCCCACTACAGTCCCACGTACAGAACAAGGACCCTGTGGAGACTAACAGCAAACCAGCTCCAAGAAGCATCATTGCAGTGCGAGGTGGCAGGCTCAACCTTAGCGGGCATCCCCGCAGAGGCTCTGCCTCCCCCACATCGTATGAGGCTTGGGCTTTTATACTGACCAAAATGCACACTCATTCCGACACAGGTGGCCAGCCTGTGCTGGAAGAAGTGGCCAGCAGTATCTACAAAGGTCTCCAAGGGTTGATAGAAACCTGGACATACTTATATTTACCAACTTCTAGTACATGAGTATCACAGAGAAACTGTATGGGCTCCCCCTGTCAACTGCAAGAAAAAATCATAACATATACAGCTTGAGTATAAGAGGATTTTAACGCATACGCGGTCACTGTTTGTCAGGCCTCCTTAACTATTTTGAGATCAAGAGCTTCCCACTCTTTAGCCCCCTGCTGTGTAGTAAACACAGGATATGCAGAGATGCCCATTGCAGAAAACTCCCCAGTAATGATCACATATTTGGTTACCCATTGTTACAACTGAGCGTCTCCAGGGCCAGTGAGTCTGAGCAGACCGACCCGGGAGACAGTCAGGGTCTGGAAGCAGAGGATATAAATCTGGCTCGGATTCAGGGGATTCGGGGGCTGATCCTGCGCCGAACTCGGGGTCTCCGTTGCTCGCAGCTGTGTCTTTCTTATCAGGTGTATCTCGTTCGGTATGTGGCCATCTGCAGACCTGGCTCCTCCGTGACTGCGTTAAAAATTTTTTCACTCTAGGGCATAGTGGGCTGGAGAGGCTCGCGGTTCCTTTAAATCTCCCGCTCGCGCATGATCTCTATTTTCTACTGCGTGCTTCACAGTGGCGCCGCAATCGATCCGGCGCCGAGGCACTGCCCTCTTTCCTTCGGATTCCTCGACTTTTAAGACGTATCCCTTCTAATACACTTTCTCTGTCCTTTTCAAAGTCCCTACTTTCGGAACTGGGGTGGTGGGGGAACAGGGGGTTACACCTCCTCTGCGGCACCTTCTGATGGAGGGAGGGGGAGAAAAGGAAGGGGATAGTGGGGTGGGAAACTTTGTGCTCCCGCGAGTTGGGGGAAATGAGTTGTAATCTTCCCCCGGTTTCAACCGACCGGGGACGTCTGTTCCTAGTTTCTCCGTTGCTACCGCGGCAGTTTTCTTTTCTGCCTTGTATCTTTTTATACAGTTCATTACTTCCCTCCGTGGTTTACCGAGTTTCTTTGCCTTTTTATAATCATTAAGCACTGAGTCAAATAGTTCATCACCGAACTTTCGCCACTCACTCTCCTCAAATATTGTATTAGGATCTGCAAAAAAAATCCCTTAGCCTTCCCTAGCCACTAGACCTGCTAGCTGCTTTAGAGTCTCAGGCTCAATTCCCCGCTTTTATAAAAAGCACTGTAAAAGTTCAGGGCTCAGTTCCCCCCTTTTATAAAAAGCACTGTAATAAGTCCAGGGCTACCTCTCGGTCCATTTTCATGGCCAGCCTTTTCCGGATTGTCTTCTTCTGGGTCGTCCTGTAACCTCGGTCTCCGGATCGGCCTCCCGACGCAGCAGTGTCTGGCTCGCCCCAGCGGCGGATTCCTTTCGGTTAGTCCAAGCACCCAGGTCCATCACGCCACCGCAGCAGCATTGCCCGCGCTTCCCGGCCGCTGCCGCCAGCGCCGCTCACTCACCGTTCCGGGTCCCCGTCGCCCGGGGCCCTGTATCCCGGGTCCCCGCTAGTCGGGGCCCTGTATTCCGGGTCCCCGTCGGCCGGGGCCCTGTATCCGGGTCCCTGCTAGTCGGTGCCCTTTATTCCGGGTCTCCGTTGGCCGGGGCCCTGTATCCGGGTCCCCTATAGTCGGGGCCCTGTATCCCGGGTCCCCGTCGACCGGGGCCCTGTATCCGGGTCCCCGGTAACCGGGGCCCTGTAATCCAGGTCCCCAGTGACCAGGGCCCTGTAGTCTGAGCCCCATGTTGGGCGCCATTTGTAAGCGGCGAGGAGAAGCAGACAGGCCAACCCAATATGGGTGATAAGCAACTTCTACTTTATTTGTGACGCAGTTCACACATATGTAGGAGTGGTATTCAGCCACTCCTTGGCACAACAGTATTGGTTAGCCCCCCACAGCTTCCTCCACATTCTCCTCCCAGGTCCGGTCTCTGGCCACCTGTGGGGGCCACCCCCTGCCTTGCTTGCACAGTCCTCCAGAACTCTATGGTTCTGCTCTTAGAGTCATTCTGCAACATGTCAAGGGGAATTTCCAGCCTTTGTTGGATCAGGGGGGAAATATAGTGACAACAGATGAGGAAAAAGCTGAGGTACTTAATGCCTTCTTTGCCTCTGTGGTGCTTAGTTGCCAGCCGGGGTTAAACCACAACACATTACAAACAAAATACAACAAATTACACTCCATCATGCTAGAGAAGACTGTGGGGTCATTAGTGACCAGGATGTGTTACCAGACTTCTTCAGCACCCTGCAGGAGTAAAAGAGGTTGAGATTTCTCTGAATCAAGATTAATAAATATGAAAATACAGTTTGCCCATGGAAGAAAGACTTGAAAGAAAAGAGTCCAGATCAAGATGGCCACAGTAGCTGTCAAATCAGTTCATACTTGAAGTGCTGTGTTGGTCAGGAGCCAGCATCTGAGCCAGAGTCAGCTAGAGATGTTGGCCTAGAGTTTATCTGATGGCTTTTCCCCCCAGGGTGGGCAAAGCTGGACAGCCAAGGCACCTGTCAGTCCCTCAACAGGGCTGCAGGGGTTTCCTGCAGCTGCTCTTTCAGCCCACTGAGTGTTTGGATCAGCTGTTATACACAGCAACTCCATCTCCGTTTTGGAACCAAACTGAAGCAGCAGAGGCTAGGTGAGGCATTAGTCCGTCACTCAAGCACCATAGAGAAATACCTGAAAAACTCAGGAGATAAAGACAGAGTGAATATTTTTCCGCCTTAGAATTAAAATAAAATGCAAAGGAAAGTGTTCAGACAAGAAAAACAGCTTCAAAACCTACAAAAAAGCTGTATTAGACTATGTTTGTTCCTGAAGCACTTATGTCTAAATCAGCTTAAGGGAGAATACTTCATTGTGATAGACAAAGATGCCACAGGATCAATGGACTGCTTTAAATAAAAATTTTCATTTTTAATGTAAATTAAGGTAATTATCACCGAAACACTTTACCAAGGTGTACAGGGTGTGGCTGTTATGGACTTAATTTTCTCTGTAGCAGCCTTAATGGCATGGTGTTTTGGATTTGTAGCTAAACCAGTGTTGGTAACACACCAGTATTTCAGATATTACAGAGCAATGCTTGCACAGCATCAAGGCTTTCTCTTTTTCCCACCCTGCCCCTGCAGAAAGTAGGCTGGGGTGGACATGAAGGCTGGGAGGGGACACAACAAGGACAGCTGACCTAAACTGGCCAAAGGAATATTCCATTCCAATGTCATGCACAGCAATAACAACTAAGAGGAGAGGGGTTTGGGGGAGGTAGCCATTGCTCATAGACTGGCTATCAATCTATGAGAGTGGTGAGTGATTGTCTTTGCATCACTTGTTTTCTGTTTTCTTATCCTTTCATTTTCTTCTTTCCTTTACTTATTAAACTATCCTTATCCTGAGATGCAACATATAGATGGGCTTGTGATCGAGGGGTGGACTTAGCAATGGACACTATTGCCCAGATTATTCATGAATGTGAAACAAGTGCTGCACTTAAGCAAGCCAAGCGGTTAAAGCATCCCTAATATGGAGGACAATGGCTGAAGTATAAATATGGGGAGGCCTGGCAGCTTGACTATATCACATACCCACCAGGGCAAATGCCATGTGCTTACTGTGGTGGAAGCAACAACCGGACGGCTGGAAACATATGCTCTGCCCCATTCCACTGCTTGGAACACTATCCTGGGCCTTGAGAAAAAAGCCTTGTATCACATGGTACACCAGAGAATTGAGTCAGACAATGGGACTCATTTACCAAACAACATTATAGACACTTGGGCCAAAGAGCATGGCATCGAGTGAGTATATCACATCCCCTATCATGGACCAGCCTCTGGAAAAATTGAATGGTAGAATTGGCTGTTAAAAACTATGCTGAGAGCAATGGGTGGTGGGACTTTCAAACATTGGGATACACATTTAGCAAAAGCCACCTGATTGGTCAACACTAGGGGATCTACCAACAGGGGTGGCCCAGCCCAGTCAGAACTTTTATGTACCGTAGAGGAGGATAAAGTTCCTGTGGTGCACATAAAGAATTTGCTTGGGAAGACAGTCTGGGTTATTCTTGTTTCAGAAAAGGCAAACCCACTTGTGGGATTGCTTTTGCTCAGGGACCAGGATATACTTTATGGGTAATGCGGGAAGATGGGGAAGTCCGATGTGTACCTCAAGGAGACATAATTTTGGCAAAAAAAACAGCCAATGAACTCAATTGTGTGCTGTTGCCTGATATATAACACTTTAATAGCCCATCAGCTAGATGCCCATCTCCACCACTCTGGGCTTTGAAAAGAAGATATGTGCTGTCATGATCAGCAGCTGAGACTCAAGTCATGGGAAAAGCCAGCAGCAGCAGAACTGTCCTCAGGTCACCATCAACGGACCCTGACTTCTATCCAATCACCACCCCAACAAAGAATGATTTTTAATGAAACCAGACAAGCTCAGCAGTGATCAGACAAGTTCAGTGGTGTTGTCAGCAGGCAACAATTCAGCACCACACACCGTCTCTCCTGCCCTGAAAGACTGTTACAAGAGATGAAGCCTGACATCATGGACTGAATGAATTCAGCAAATTTATAGGGATTGGTCCATGCACTAAGGAATGATATCTCTCTCTTTTTGTGTGTGTGTGTGTGTGTATGTACATAT